GGATAAAATAAATAAGAAACCTGATTTGTGACGATGGCGCATAGGCAGGTCTTGTAAACAAGCGCAACGTTTATGAAGAGCGGCAAGAGTGGTAACAAAATGAACTGACGAAGCAGTTGTTGAAGGCTGAAACTACGTTCCTATTGTAGAGGGAAGGGTAGTTTTGAAAATAAATTAAAAGGAAATTATGGTTTGTGGTGGCGCCACGTAGGCGGGCCTAAGGTTATCTTTTATATATACATATATATATATTAGTAAAATTACTCGCGCGGAAATTTAATATTACGAAATTTATAAAATAATACTTAAAACTTATCGGTCATTTAAACTAAAACACTACAAAGGAAGATGATAATTATAACATCTTATCATTTATCCTTCAATCAATCATTTTTAATTTGAATTTTATAATTTATCATTTTGCTTCCAAGAAGTGTTACTATTTGATATTTTTGAGGAATCAAATGAACATCAACCGATAATATTAAATATTCTAATAAATAAATAACCGTTGGTGAAAGGATAAATAAATTATAAAAGGCTGAAAAAAGTGATGAAATTCAATTTGAAACTGCACTTCTATTTCAATCACAGTGTCGAAAACACATATATTACTTCAAGAAGAATATTTATAACTTGCAGTAAACTTGAGAAATCTGTCCATACTTCATATTGAATATAAACAATTAATTTATTGTGTAGTTATCTATGTCTTTGGGATAAAAATAAGTTGTAGTCTAGTCATATTCCCCTTGAACTTATGTTAAAAGTTTATTAATTCTTGTCTTCTTTTTTTGGTTCACTTCACACATCAATGTGTGATAAAGATTTTAAGATCTTTATGTGCTTGCAATGACATACCAAATTTGAATTTTGTCTTCAAGATATGGTAGTAGAGATCTTTAAGGAATATTTTTACTCTACTTTCAACAATTTTAGTAGAGAAAACTTGCATGAATACTCAATTAACGTGTGTTATTTAATCTGTACTAACAAATACTTATAACAATAACTTTGCAGAAACATAAACAACAAAGTTTAAAAGATATACTCAAAAACAACAATTAATAAAATAAGTATAAATTAATGACTGTAAAAAAAATATCAGGATAGAATGAAACAAAAATGAAAAAATCGAGCCCACTAAATGTATAGTGTACCCTTAAGAAAATTATTGTCCTCTATTACTCGAGGTTTAAAAGAATAGATTCTCTCATGATAGAACGATTCTATTCACCAGTGTATTGATACAAAAAACAACGGTGAAGTGAGTCACTCAACAGGAGCAAAGTACATGAATATTTAATTGTACAAAAGAAGAAAAAGAAGTAGTTTAGAATTTTCGTTGTTTTAAAATGAGAGAAAATTCCTTTATTTATAAACAACAAAGGGTAGTGTGAACAAATATTTACTGTGCCTTATCAGAAAGGTCACAACTCTTTCGAAAAGGTCACAATCTTTCATAAAAGTTATAACTTTTCATAAAAATCACAATTTTTCATAAAAGTCACAACTTTTAATGAAAGGGGAAGGCTAGTTTTAGAAATAAATAAATTAAAAGAGAATTCTGGATTTTGTTGGCGCCACATAGGCGGAGGCCTAGGGTTCTCTTTTAAATAATATATATATATGATATGATTAAATAAATAGACATATGTGTCCTACGTAGAATATATGTGTTTATACTTGTTTAATTTTATATAAATTTAAATGTTTACTTGCACACATTCAAATATCAACTGAATCAAGTTAGAAGGGTATGTTTATAAATAAAAAATAAATAAAGAGAACTCCAAATGATTGAGTATTTGAATGACATCTCTAAAAGAAGTAGGAATAAACATAATTATACTTTTTGTAAAGATTAAGCCACAAAAAAAAAAATCTATGAAGTTTGACTGCTCTGTTTGGTAGGGTCTAGGAATCATACAAGATTCTCCTTAAATAAAAAACTTAGTAATTTTAGCACGTGGTTAGGCAAGAATGAAACCAAACCCTCACATAAATTTGTCACCGCCGCCTGAATATTCAGCTTAAGGGCCACTGCTGTTTCTGGAAGCTGTAAGTAGTCAGTACTCAGTTCTAACACTTTTTCATTTTATGCAAATAATTTTTCAATTCTTATCCCTTTAGTCCTTTTTCACAACCCCATTTGTTGTATTTTGGTAACTGATAAAAAAAATCCATTCAAAATTCTTCTTCTTTCTGTGCTACTTGTCAACTGCCAGCAAGAACTCATTTTTACACTGATAAGTAAGAGATTTTAAGGTATCTTGAAAAAAGAATATTTGGGTATATCAAATTTGAAAATGCTTGTTTCACAGCAATTCAAGATTCAATTTTTCAGCCACCCTAGTTCTCATACTAAGTTTCTAGCTCATGGTAAAAGCTTAAAAGTTCCAACCTTTAAGCAAGGACCCTTTAATCCCACTACAGGTCATAATCTATGTGTAAAGCACAAATCTTTAGCTGTTTCTTTGAATGTGGATGAACCTAGAAGTTGCAATCTTGAAGAAAAGATTGAAGTGGTTCAAGAAAAAAGCTTTTGGGGTGCTGTGGGGTTGATTGTAGGTACTGCTGTAGGGCCAGGAATGTTGGGATTACCTGCAGCAACTGTAAAATCTGGTCCAATTCCATCAACCATATCTCTTTTGTTGACTTGGGTTTATGTTATTTCCTCTATCATTCTTGTGGCAGAGCTTAGTTTTGCAGCTATGGAGGAAGATGGGGTTGATGAAGTTAGCTTTACTAGTCTTGCAACCAAGGCATTAGGAAGCAAACTTGGGTCATTTGTTGCTTTGGTTTATGGTTCACTAACTTTTGCTTTGTTGGTAGCCTGTGTTTCAGGTATTGGTTCAATTATTTCTCAGTGGTTTCCCAAGATTAATCATGTTCTTGCTAATGGGCTGTTTCCATCACTAGTTGGGATAGTTCTTTGTTTGTTACCTTTTAAGGTTATTGATGTAGCCAATAGGTGTCTATGCATTACAATGCTTTTCTCCATTACAGCATTAGTTGTAATTGGAATATTTGTTGGGAGAATGAGTATTCTTGATTCTTTTGGATTTGCTTCTTGGAGATTTTCATCAGTTTTGCCTGCTATTCCTGTGGCTGTGCTTACAATGGGGTTCCATGTAATCACACCTTTTATTTGTAAAATTGCTGGAAACACTGTACATGATGCTAGAAAAGCAATAATGCTAGGTGGGACTATTCCCCTAGTCATGGTAGTATCATGGAATTTGATTGTTTTGGGACTTTCTAGTCACAATGCTTCATCTGTCTCAAGCGATCCGATCTCACTCTTGCTCTCTGTCAATTCCTCTGCTCTACCAGCAGTTCAAGGTTTTGCATTTTCAGCACTAGCCACTAGTTTGATAGGATATGCTGTTAGCTTTCCGAAACAGGTTGTCGATACCTTGGATTTGATCTTTAGTAGTTCCAGTTCCAGTTCCAGTCCATCTAGAGGAGTAACGACTCGAGGTGAAGTAGGCAAAGTTGGTTCAGCCACATTTAAGTTGAGGCAAAATCTTGGAAATGCAGGGAAAGTTTCTTATAGTGGAATCAAGAATGCTAATGCTTCAGAAAATAGAGTGAACTTTGGTTTCGAATCTTTGCAAATCCTTGTGATTCCTTTTGTTCTAGCTTTGCCAGTTCTCATTGGCTCTTTCTTTCCCTCTACATTTTCAAGAGCTCTTGATTTTGCTGGGATTTACGCCAACTGCTTTCTGTTTGGCATCCTTCCTCCGGTGATGACGTACATTTATCAGTCCAGGAGAAAGCTCAGGTAAGCCAATAGTACCACTAGTAAATATAGAAAGATCGAGACTTATGCTATAGAAATAAGAAACCAATTATGATGTTGTCCAATAAACTGCAAAATAATAGCAGGAAATTGTACTAACATTTTATCTGGTGTTAATTTTTCGACAGGTTAGGCGTCTTACCAGGAGGAGATGGTGTGCTGCTACTACTTTTAGTCATTGCTGTTATTCTAGCCATTTGGCATTAGACATTGTACTTCTCTGCTAGACTTGCATCATTGATATGCATGTAATTTTCCTGATTCTTGATGGTTCAATGGAGAATACCAAGTAAATTTAAAAGAGTTGAATCAAGAAAGCCTTATAGTTCTCATTCTTTCTTATATACCTAATGCTGAATCATGGTGGTTACATTGGGTTGACCATTATGTTAGTTTACCCTAGTAAGGCAACATATTTGAGCTAGCTAAGCATGTCTAATGAGGAGACGACCCAGTATATCACGTGTGTGTGAACAGTGTGAAGTATAGACAAGTTGTGGCTTTGTAAGTGTGGAGGTTACCCTGACACATGTTAAGTCTCCCACATCGGTGGTGGATGGGATCCTTTGGTCTCCTTATATGGAGTTAGGTCCAGGTGACATATCTATCAACATGAACTTAGTAAGCAATAACACATGAGGTATGATCTTACAATGTCTTCTGTTTTCTAATCTAATTTCTAGAGGATAATAAAAATATCAGCAAAACTTGTTCATGAAACTGAAGGGTTAAGAAACCCAAATGAATTAGTAAATGGAACTTTGATTAATTCAAATAAATTCTACATTAAAATCCATCCTTAAATCCCTGCAAATACCTTGAAACAACAAATTTTCATATATGTAAGTAATGCAACTTATAAGTCACATTTGTGTTGCTTCTGTTACCCATGTTGCTCGGACACTTCAAAAATATCAACAATTACATGCCTAATCCTCCAAAAGTAGTTCATTTTTGAAGGATCCGACAACATTTATGGGGACTCCGAGCAACATATCTGTTACAACTTTTTCTATACAATAGTAACTCATTCTGTATTTTGTGTATACCTATAAAATGCAGTGAAGGAAGAGTGTGTATATATATATATGTTCTTCTCTCCTTCTAATCTTCAACTGCAAATAATTTCCAAAAACAACAAACAAATAATACTTTAGTCCTATGCTAGCTTGAAGCCCTCTTTATAACTTTCATGTCAGTTATCTTCTATAAAAACTTTGAATATGTAATCGCGAAAACGCCTTGAGTATGCCTTTGGATCAACTGCTGATATTGAGTTTGGATCACATTGCATAGACTTGTACGCGTGCTCTAGCTTCTTTGTAATGTCATAGTCTTGAAGTATGTCTATGACCCCGAAAAACAGTATCACATCATACAACTCTCCTGTTGGATCTCCGATTAGCTGAGTTTCCGCTTCTGTAGCTTTCCTCTCTGTCCTTTCAACTCTTGCAGGCATGTTTATTCCTAGTTTTATGCTAGCCCACCTGCAATTTTTGACACAGAGATCAAGAAATGACGTATAAATAGTTAGTTCAGTGACTTTACTGTTACAAAGAGCAAGTCTAGTGCCCGGTGCATAGTACATATAGTTCATGTAACTAGATGATTATCAGGGGATTGAAAACTTACCCTTCCTGATCAAGAAGCAATTGATCCATATCAGCTCGAGAGACACGAGCAAATGTTTCATTTTCCGAGCCTCCATTATCTGCAACGAGTTGAAACAAATGAAAGTAAGACAAACAGATTGAAACGGAGGAATTGTTGTTATGATTCAAATGAAGTTAGAACTAACCAATAGGTGTTCCAGAACCAGAAGATGTCTGATCTTCAGTACTATCTGCTTCTCTAAAATGGATACCAACCAAAAGGCTATAGTCCATCACTCCCTCTTGTTCCATGAACTCACAATCTCTATCAACTTGCCTGCAGAATGTCGCGAAAATCATTTACTGACATTTGTTTTACACTTGAAATGAAACGTTGAGAGTCTCATATGTTAGAGGATAGTTACATTATTCGACTTGAAAGTTTCAAAGCAAATTTTTTACCTTCGGAATTCTTGAAACCATGTCTTTTGTAACCTGAAAATGAAGTTGAGATCAAGGTCTTTAAGGGTTGTTGTTGCTTCAATCTCGGATTCTGGTTTATCTGTCATTCTTCCAAATGTTGATCCTTTCAAGTCGAATCGTCTATGAATTGAGTAATTTGTGCAAAAGAGGTTCCCCATGATAACGAATCGTACCTAAAACCATTCATGAATTGAACTACTACAGTTAGACCTCGCTATAATAGTCATCCTCTATAAAAACATTTCACTATAATCACCAAGTTCTATTTAAAGCCGTTTTTCATATAACAGCCAAAAAATATTCAGAGAAATGACGTTGTTATAGAGAGATTTGACTGTATTAGACTTTTGTTTATGGTACTTTATGTCTGATACCTTCTTCTGTGCTGGTCCACTTAGCTTCACACAATGCAGGCCATAGTACTTAGTCACAAGGGTGTTCTCAAAAGCGCGAACATGATTGAAATACGCGCTAAGCATCCTTAATAGCACCTAACAAATCCATTGGCAAGTAAAATCAGAAGGGGAAGTACTGATCTTTGCAGAAAAAAATTGCAGTTATTTAGAGACTTACTTTTGTTTCTGCCTTCTTCATTGTCTTGATCATATATCGATCATCGTTTGTCAAGTAGAAAAAACTTCCACTTTTTCCAGGGGAACAAAGCTCCCTGAGGGCATCATTACCACAAATCGATATCATATAATCAGCTGCATCCACTTTGAATAACATCCGTAATGCCCTGAGGAACATCACAATCGATGATCACTAGTTTCAACGTGTTCTAAAGTCATCATTTTCAGCAAGTAATAGAAATGAAGCCTTACCTGAAAACTTTCGGACAATAATCCTTCCATCTGAATTCACAAGACGGATGAGGAGGCGTGATCTTGGATCCTTCTGTTGGAAATCTAGTCCAATACTTCTCTCGAGGATCAAACGCTGATGGCTTGAGATCTAGTGATGGTGGAGGACCAGGCCGTCCCACTGATACCCTATCGATAAGTTATACAAGAAAAATCACAACTTTGAGCTATGAAAATGCACAACAAACACAAAGCAACTTGTACATTTGCAAATATAATTAGACGAAAAACGAGTTAAATTTACTACCTGATTCCCAACTGCAAATTAAGCATAAGCTCATAATTCTTATGCCCTTTGGAAATAGTTTGGCCTTGTCTCTTAACAACTTTAGGAATTCTTATAGGACTTCCTCTTAAATATCCATCAGGATCCTGCAAGCCAACGATGGAATCGTCCAAATAATAAGAAGTACTAGCAGAAGTTCCTGCAACATCAGATAAACGAATTCTACCAAACTCCCTATCAACAGGAGGTGCATCTATTCTCCCGTCCAACGACATTCTCCTAGGCTTAATGTTACTGTCAACAGCCTTAGATGACCTCCATAACGCGAGTTTCTTCTGTGAAGGCAAAATAGGAACTTTCTCAGGTGGACAGATAGTACATTCAACCAAATCGACGTTGAAAACTTGTTGAGGATCCCATTCAAGATTACCAGTTTGTAACAATGATGTAGATGGATAAAATGTACCATTCTGTTCATTTGGATCTTTACTCCAATTTCCAACATAAAAACTTCCATCAGTCCATTTAAAAGTACCATTTCCTTTAGGAAATCCATCTTCCCAATTCCCTTCATAAACATTTCCATTAGTCCAATACATTTTGCCTTTACCAAAAATAGTTCCATTTTTCCATTCACCAACATAATAATTCCCATTTTTCCAATTATACCTCCCCTGTCCTTCTTGTAATCCCCTACACCATTCACCATCATAACAATCTCCGTTAACGTACTCCTTAACCCCATGTCCATGTTTCAAATTCATGATCCAACAACCCCTATAGGTATCACCATTAGGCCCCGTATAGGTACCATCTCCATCCATAAATCCAGTCTTGAAATTGCCCTCATACATTGCACCAGAGGGCCAACTAAAGATACCTTTGCCCATAGTTTTGCCACGAAACCAATCTCCAACGTACATACATCCATCAGTCCACCAATATTTACCTTGTCCATGAGGGAAATTGTCAAGCCAATAACCACTATAGTAATCACCATTTGGGAGAAACCTCTCAGCATGGAAGATTTCACCATTCGCGTAAATGTGATCATCTTGTTCCTCATTTTCTTCCTCTGTTGTTGGTGATGATGAACCTTGTGTACAGAATATCGTGTTAGCACGTTTCCTTGTTGCAGCTTGTGTTATCCTTATAGTTGCCTCCCACGCCCTCATGTCTATATATATATATATATCTCACTTTTCAATTTCTTCTTGATCTTCACATTTTTTTCTGTCTGATTAATCAAAAACTAATGATTTGATCTGGGTTTTTTTTCATTGACAAAATGCTATATTGTTTATGATCATGCATGGACATGCAAATTAGATACAAAATTAATCTCTATTTGCTCTTATTTGTTAGTTCTCTTTCTATTTTCCTAGTTTTTGATGTAAGGAAGGAGACAACAACAAAATTAGAAATTACATTCACATTCTGTCCATATTTTGACCATTTTTGCCCAAACATTTTTTTTTTTTTGGTGGGGGGGGAGGGGGA